AACTGTAGCGAGGTGTCCTTGATGCTCATCTGCTTGCTCTCTGCCGACCGGCTTAAAAATATTCTGTACCCCTACAGCGGAAAGTCCCTTACAATTAAGGTTACGCACCTTCTGTGCGTCTTTATCTGGATTGTTGGTGGTATAATTGCGTTTATTCCCACGGTAGGCTTCGATTACTTTGGTAGTCGCCAGAAGGGTCATCATTTTTATGGCAGATCAGTTGTTTGTCTCCCATTGCAGCTTTCTGCTGATAAGCCCTCAGGCTGGGAGTACTCTGTTGCCATGTTTGTTGGTCTAAACTTTTCCCTTGTGTTATTTGTCATTGTGGCCTACTCAATGATAATCTTTAAGTCCTGCGCATCAAACCGGCGCCTGGCTAAGCAAGGAACCGAAAGAGAGAGGAAAATGAAAGCCAAGCAGAGGGCAGCCGATCTGAGGAGGGAGGCCTCGCTCGCCAAAAGAGTGTTCTTCATCGTTCTTACCGACTGTGTCTGCTGGTTGCCTATCGTGGTGATTGGAGTGAGGTCTCTCCTGGAAAAGTCCTTCCGTGTACGTGGTGACCTGGCAGTTTGGATCGCAGTCTTTGTTCTGCCGGTTAACTCTGCCATCAATCCCATTCTCTACACCTTATCTACCCCACAGGTACACGAGGTCATTATTTGAACGGTTGAAAACTATATCTTCGGCGATTAAGTTTAATTTTACTATTTCTATATTCATTCGCATTCGAGGGGAAATCAAAGACTCGAAGGTTTGAAATGGGGAGTGGGGAGAACGCACTGTGTACTGATTACCACTGTGTTTTTTTTTTGTTTTTTTTTTAATGTATTAAGGTTCGAGGTGTCATCAATGCCAAACTCCGACCGTTGTGGGATTACCTGATAGCAAAAGTCGGCCTTAATCAAAATGTTGAAGGTAACTTTTAACAATTTTAACTCATCTTTCGTCATTCTGTATAGTGTTATTCCTCGTTCTTTCATCTTTTGTTTCTGTTTCATGTCATAAAGCTACGTATAAAACAGTTCTAATAACAGATATGCCGCGTGTTTATAAATGAAATTGACTTATGAGTCAAGTGAATAAGAAATAGACAGGTATCTATATTTAATAACAAGCTTCTTTATTTCATGTTAACACTTAGTTAGACTCGGTATCATTGAAAAATATGACTACCTCATGAGTGAATAATGTGTTTGTTGCTGACGTTTTTGTCGCTTGTGTTTTTGTTTTGTACCAGCTCAAGACCAGGGAATGGAAATGAGAGTTATCGAAGAAGGTACGCATTCAATTCACTTCTCCACAGACTGCAACAAGTTTGAGAATGCAACATTTGGCAGTCAAAAACCAAGAACAGAACAGAATGATCAAAGAACAATGAGTAATTTATGTAGCTGAAAAGGTTCCACCTGACGTTTTTTTCCAATTTTTTATATTCTAAGGAAGGTGTAAAAAGAAATTTGACCTTTAGCTTGAAGTTTACAGCCATCCATATTTTGAACCACTTTAATGAGTGCAATTTTCCGTTGTACATGTATAGTAAGTTTGAATCTAATTTAATTGATTCTTGGTATGATCTAGAGAAGAAAATATCCATAGACGAAGTCACCATTGATAATATTTCTAATTTTATTACAAAAACAAATGGATTCCATATTGCCGTGGGTCTATTCTGAAATTGCTCACTGAAAAATGGGCTTAGAACATGACAGACACTCCGTTGCGCCCCGTATATCATCGTTGAACAGACGCATAGCAACATATAATTTACTTGTTTGTTCGACAGTTAAAATTCGAGAAATAATGGTTTTGATAAGGTATTAAGAGCAAATGTGGCCAACAATCGCACAATTTCGAAATATCGTGGCAACAACCAAAAAATCGATTGGACTCATATTCTCAAGTTGTGTGGGCCTGACAGTGAAAGAAAGAACTGCATACTTCGTTTGGCTGAATATCAATTTATTTTCGAGAAAATCGATAATAACTGAATTCCACCAAATGCCGCTTTAGAAGCTCAAAACTTTTTAGACGAATCTCGGAACGTCGCGCCACGATGAAAAGCACCAAATCTTGTAAAACAACATCAAGACATATGTTGACAGCAATTTGAGTAATTGTTGATTGTTTTGTATACACAAACTAATTGAATTTATCCAACCTTCATCTAATTTGATTAAAAATAGATCAAGAGTAACCCGTTATTTAACTATGTGCTAAACAAAATTATCCACTGAAAATCTGGCTTTTGGAAGGTGAAGTGTAGTTCCTTTCAATCTTCGAAGGAGTTTTTGGGGAAATGTTTCAGTGCGATTTCATTAAATTTTAAAATTGGATGAAATGCGTTGATTTGACAGTGCCGTCAGTTAGTGGAAAATGTATACATACACACGCAAACTCGATTGTTTCGCATTTCACCACAGTTTTTTCAACATAATATTCATTCATCCTTCATGTTGCTGTATCACAATAGAGTATTGCAGTTCTGAAATTGTTGCATCGCTCTCACAATAGTGATATAACTCGGAAGAATAGTCAACACCTCCTGATAACGATTGTTTACGGGGTTTCTCTATACCCAATTCGTTGAAAAGGAGGCTGTAATTACTTCAAGAGATCATTGTTTAGATATAAGTCTTCAACCGAACCGCGAACCAAGCGGAATGTTGCCGAAATGCACTTTACCGCTTTTAGAGAGACTGCCTCTCAATGATGTTTAGAACAAGGGAGACGTGCTGAAATGGACACCTGGCTGTGTTCAAACGCTAGTCTGAACAAAATCTCGTTCCTCTGAATTTCTGATCTGGATGAGTTTACGGAGAGTTATCTAGTTATTTTAAGTAATATTTGCCATTTTGACCCCAATTTA